ATAAGTAAATAGTAAAGGTTAGCTGTCCCTAATATGTTCTTTTCTTTGTTAACTGCTGTCAAGAACAGTGGGCCTGGCTCTCAGATTGGCTTCCTGCTAATATCCAATTCTGCTCAATTCAAGGTAACACGGTACAGTCATCCGCTGGTGTCCCTCTTGTAGTCACTGTGACAAAATAACTGAGAGAATGAACTTAAAGGAGGAGAGCTTGGTTTGGGCAGAGCAGCTGGTCTCATGGTGACCAGGAAGCAGAGAGCAAGACAGCCCGGAAGGCAAGTGCCTTATCAGTGCCTTTGAAGAATGTACCCCACGTAACCTGCCTCCTTCACCTGCCACCTCCCGCCGGTCCTGGCGGCCCACCCAGCTAAGAGCTCCTCCATGGGCTAATTCATCACTGAATTCAGAGGCCTCAAGATCCAGGCCCCTCCTTAGGCCCTGCTCTTGCATACCATTGCACTGGGGGTCAGTCCTCCATAGATGAGTGTTTGGGGGACACTTCCTCTTTAATCAGCGTCTGAGGAGGATCAGTTCCAGGGCCCAGTGCAGAGCCCAGAATTCCCAGGTGTTCAAGTCCCTTGGGTGAAATCTGGTGGTCTGTGCATGTATCCTGCGCACCTCTTCCTGTCTCTGGATGGCTTCAGACACCACATGCAGTGGCAGCCCTATGCAAAGAGTTGTGGTATTGTATTGTTTAGGGCACAGGGACAAGGAAAAGTTCTTATGTAGTCATTTCTTTTTCTCCCACTATTTCTGAGCCCCGGTTGATTGACTTTGTGGATGCAGAGCCTTGGGATGGAACGGACCCGCCACGCGGGGATGGCCACTCCTAGTGAGAGCAGGAGACCAGCTCACCATGCTGCTCGGCTGCTTTCCAGGCAGGTGAACTGGAGCCTCTGCGTGGCCACATGTCACGTGTGACGTGGGATAATTTCTCCTGCCTCCGAGTCAGGCGGCCCTGCCTGAGCAGCACACACCTGCCACTGCCAGTGCTCCAGGAGTCACGTGCCAGACAGAAGCAGCCAGCTCCCCTCCCCTGCAGTCAGTGCAGGGCGGATGGCCCCTCTGGGGTGCACAGGCAGCAGGAAGTTGGGTGTCGGGGCCTCACTTGATCTAATGAGGCCGCTTCCCGGGTCTGAGATGTGGAGGCCGGCGGGGAGGTTGGCAGGGCTGGCTCTGTGAAGGGCCCGTAATGAGGATGGAGAGCCGGGAGCAGAGGCGGCCTCTCCAAAGGGGCACGGAGCTCGGCGGGCAGCGGGCGTCTCTCAGGTGGGGGCACAGCGCCCTGCAGAGGGTGCTGCTGTAGCGGGGTGGACTGCAAAGGTAGAAGAGGGTTATTTGTTGACAACTTGGAAATGAGGACTTCATTTTCTCCAGCACCAGGGCCTTCCCTCCCTCCCTCTCCCTGCCTCTCTTCCGCTCTCCCCCAACACACACCAGCTCCTCTCTTACCCGGGCTGTAGACTCAGGGGCCCCCCAGCTATGGTGCCGCAGAGACCTCAAGGCCTCTCTGACTCCCACATCTCTTGACTTTCCGCATGGGAGCGACACTCAGGCCTGCTGCAGGCCTTTCGTCCCGTGAGCGGCCCAGCCAGGGCCAGGTCACCACCAAGGTTCAGCAGCAGAGGGGCAGCGTGTGGGAGGCGCTGCGCTGTGTGCAGGCCCAGCTTGTGCTGCTTTCCCTACTTCACTTGCCAAAATGCGCCCCTTGGACAGAGGTGACTGCACGTAGCCTGGGGAATGAGGTCTAGACAGAGGCCACCAGGGGGACAGTGGGCTGTGGCTGTCAGTCACGGTTTTACCACGAGGCCCAGGCAGGAATTCCTGGAATCTCTCATTCTCTTCTCATTCTCATTCCCTTTCCCATTCTTCTGGAAGAACAGCCAGAAGATGTGACCAGGACAAGGGTCCAACTCTCGCTACAGAGCTGGGATCACAGGGGATGCAGAGGCTGGCCAGGAGGGTTACTTGCAGAAGAAAAGGAGAGACTTGGGTGCTACCCCTGGCTTCTCCCCCTATGCAGCAGCCTGAGGGGCTGAAGGCTGAGGCTGAAGGATCCTGGGAAATGTAGTTCCTGTCGTGCAGAGGCAGGTGTGAGGGGGACACAGATCTGAGAGCAAACAGTGGGGTGACCAGGCTGCTGCGTGAATTCCTCTCAGATCTCTGTGGTCAGCCATGAATTTGTTTCCTAGTGTTAAATTGAATGAACAAACGCCAAGTAGAGACACAGAGAGAGAAAAAGAGAGGGCGAGAGCTGGTTTGTTTTGTTTTTCCTGGGTAAGTGCTGGAGTTGCAGTCTCCAATTGTGTTTAGAGTGTGTGAGTTTAATTAAATTTAACACATTGGAGCAACTTAAAATAGCAATTCACGCTTTCTGCTAACAGAGATGTCGCCAATTTCCATGATGGAGAGAAATGCACCAGGGTTTCAGGAATATGTTTTTTCACACAGGACTGCAACTTGCTGGCTGTGCAGGTACTGTCCTTTGCCATCTACCAACCCAATCATCGTCCCCTCCTGCCCCAGCTTTCAGGCAAGGAAGGCCGGCCATGGGCTCCAGCTCCCTTGGGCACCACTGTGGAGAGCAGCAGAGGAGGGGCGGGCAGGGCAGAATGAGTTTGGTCTGCTCATTTGTGCCACCCCTGCCCTGTGAGCTTGTCCGGGTAGCTTCTGCTTGTGAACTAAATCCCATAGGCCGCCATGTCTCAGCGAGGGGTGATTTTAGAACAGAACATTCGGCGATGTTGGGTGACAGTTTTGGTTGTCACATGGGGGGACGTGTTCTGGCACCCTGGGGTGCAGGCCAGGGATATGGGTAAGCACCCTTCAATGCAGAGAGTAACCTCTAAACCAGAGCTTACCCATGCCAAGGGTGCTGAGGCCGGGACACCCTTTTCTAGCCAGGTGCAAGCAACTCTTCCAGAAGGACCAGCTTCGTTTCTGCCCAGCCTATTGCAAACCAATGCCTTCACGAGAACGTAATGGAAATAAATGATCAGGTAAATCATCCTGTGCTTGGATGTGAGGACCGATGCCAAACTGCCCTAGAACTTCAGTCTTACCTTTCTGTACTCTCTGACTGGGGAGCAGGGACAGACGACTCGCGGACCTTGTGCAGGGCTGGCCTGCCATTCGCTCTGCTTCCCGAGATGAGCCTTAGTCCCTCGCCCCACCCACCTCTGTGCCATTACTCCCTTTGTAAATGCGGTCTTGATTGTTCTCAGTGAGTGAGGCTTCTGCCTGCACAGGGCCCGACTAATTCTGGTTCTGGAATGTTTGTGTACAAAACAAGCAAAGTGTAGGGTGGAGCATGTAGGTAGGAGGCGAAGATCACAAGGGGCAGCTCAGTCCGTCACTCATATGCGAGCCGGTTCTTCGGATGGCGACAGTCAGTGGGCCAGCACTGTGGTGGAGCATGGTGACTGCCAGTAGCCTCAGGCTGGGCTGCTTGAGTCTCCACCCAGCTCTGCCAGGCTCCCCATCTGCATAAGAAAATGGTGACAGTGCCCGAGAGCTAACGTCACAGACAGACGTGGGCCCAGCACACTATTTCCGGTGGTGTTGGTCTCACTACTCTGGGCGTGTGTAGCTCTTGCCTCTCCAACTTATATCATCAGTTCCTGGGAAGGAACAGGACCTTGGAGAATTCCAGGGACCCTGCAGCATGGCCCTCGCAGGGCTCCTCTGCCTTGCTTGAAGGTGGCTCAGCTGAACAGGGATCCTCCTGGTGGCATGGGAGCCACAGCAGGCTCTAGTGCTGCTCCAGGGAGGAGGGTGGCTGCCACAAGCCATCAGGCACTTTCTACTTGAATGAAGAAATACACCCTGTGTCTGTCACACGGTGAGGAACAAGCCCAGACTGTGAACCCAGGAGCTAGTGTTCAAGTCTGCGCTGCTGCAGTCTAGCAGTCCCTGCTGTGTGACCTTGGGCCAACCATTTAGCCTCTCTGATTCATCCTCTATGCAAGGAGAGTACCAATCACGGCCTCACAAGATGGCTATGATGCCCCAGGTAAGCTGAGGCTGTGAAGGCCCTGATAGACCTAAGGGGCTGGCTAAGAGCCCTTGCTGAATTTGTAACCCGTCTCCTCTGACCTCTTCTGCCCCAGCACTGTGGGGTCCAGGCAGGCCTGGGACTCCTCCTTGGGGCTTCCCCAGCAGCCAGGACTGAGGGCAGCCCAGCAGCCTCCGGCCCGCACAGATGGGACGTCAATATCGCCTGTCAGTGTGGGCTCCAGAGCTGAGACGCTTGGCCTGTGGGATTTCATATTTGAGATCTCAATTAAGGCACATGGCTCCAGTTGGAGGGCTGATGGGAGCTCATGGCCCCTTTCCTTCTCAAGTAGGAATGGAAGGCAGGGGCTTCAGAGAGCAGACATCCTCAGGTCCAGGCAGCAGAAGTCTGATGCGTAAGGTCTTAGAGATCAGAGCTGGGGCCCGGGCCTTGGAAGGTCCAGGCGGCAGTGGCCCTGGCTGTGGTGGACAGCCCCAGGATTAGTGGGACCTCAAATACACCCCTAAAGGTGGAGGGGCGGATGGGGTCCTTCTTGCTGGGGCTGTGGGGAAGAGTCATTCCTTCCCTGGGGACACAAGATGCTCTCTGGCCCCCAGCATTGTCTGGAAATGGCAGAGTCCCGGCAGAGCCAGCAGGAACCCTTGCAGGTGAGAAGGAGGCGGCCCAGCTCCCCGGGGTGGCCCCAGCATCCAACTCAGATGTCTGGCCCAGAGAGAGTGCGGCATGGGTTGTGGTCCCATCACATCTCAGAGGACAAGACAAGGGGCCAGGCTGGAGCGGGGTGGGGATGGTGTGACCCCGGGCCCTAATTCCGGAGATGGAAGGTTATAGCAACAGGTGTGGGGTAAGCACCCCTTGGCCTGAGTCCTTTACTCTCTCGGTCCTGCATCTGTCTCTGTCACCTCTCTATTATTGCCTCTGTCCCCTTCCTGTCACCTTGTCCCTTCACTCTGCCATCCCTCACCCTCTGTGTCTCCTTCCTTCCCAGGATGATCCCAGCCTCCAACAAGGCCTTCGTGGTCAACAACCTGGTGTCAGGGACAGGCTACGACCTGTGTGTGCTGGCCATGTGGGACGACACAGCCACGACACTCACGGCCACCAACATTGTGGGCTGCGCCCAGTTCTTCACCAAGGCTGACTACCCGCAGTGTCAGTCCATGCACAGCCAGATCCTGGGTGGTACCATGATCCTGGTCATCGGGGGCATCATCGTGGCCACACTGCTGGTCTTTATCGTCATCCTCATGGTGCGTTACAAGGTCTGCAACCACGAGGTCCCAGGGAAGATGGCAGCGGCAGCCGTCAGCAACGTGTACTCGCAGACTAACGGGGCCCAGCCTCCGCCCCTGGGCAGTGTGCCTGCTGGGCAGCCCCCACAGGCTCCACCCAAGTTCGTGGTGCGGAATGAGCTCCTGGACTTCAGTGCCAGCCTGGCCCGAGCCAGCGACTCTTCCTCCTCCAGCTCCCTGGGCAGTGGGGAGGCAGCGGGGCTGGCACAGGGCCCCTGGAGGCTCCCACCCCCTGCCACCCGCCCCAAACCCAACCTTGACCGCCTGATGGGGGCCTTTGCCTCCCTGGACCTCAAGAGTCAGAGAAAGGAGGAGCTGCTGGACTCCAGGACTCCAGCGGGGAAAGGGGGCGGGACACCGGCCAGGGGCCACCACTCAGACCGAGAGCCACTGCTGGGGCCCCCAGCGGCCCGTGCCAGGAGCCTGCTCCCCCTGCCCCTGGAGGGCAAGGCCAAGCGCAGCCACTCCTTCGACATGGGGGACTTCGCGGCGGCAGCAGCTGCGGCAGGAGGGGTGGCCCCCGGCGGCTACAGCCCCCCTCGGAGGGTCTCACACATCTGGACCAAGCGCAGCCTCTCCGTCAACGGCATGCTCTTGCCCTTTGAGGAGAGTGACCTGGTGGGAGCCCGGGGGACTTTCGGTAGCTCTCAGTGGGTGATGGAGAGCACCGTGTAGCCGGGACCACCCTCCCTCCCACCCTTATGGAGTGGGAGTTGAAGGGGCGGGGTCTTTACTGGCGAGTCTTGTGGAGTTTCCATGGTGATGTTTACATCCAGGGACAGTTTCGTCTCCCTGTCCACAGCCTCTTGTCCCTCCCGCCCAGCCACCCTCCTCCACATCGCCTTCCCAGGCCTGTCCCCACCACCCAGCGGGGTGTGCTCAGGGAATTCGGACTCCCTCAACTGTCGGACTGAGCCCCGAGTGTTTGGAGAGGCGAGAGTCCGCCTTTCTGATCACAAATGTAGCGACACGCAAGTGGCTTTGGATGGCTTATGGGTCCAGTGTGGCTTTTATTTCTGAATTTATTTATTTATTTTTTTTCCATTTCCCGGACTCCTCTTCTTCATTCACACGGGGAAAGGGTGAGCGAGTGTTTCCTCTGCGTGTGCCCAGCAGCCCCAGCAGGGGGCGATCATTGCCAAATGCCAACTGGTTCCAGTCTTGTTTGGGGGAGGACCGTGGAGTCCCCTGCCCAGGGCCACTCCACACCCCGCTTTGGGAGGCAGGAGTGACCAGCTCTGAGGCTGACACTTGTGCTCAATGCATATACCAGACGATTTCTTCCCGGGCTTCCCATATGGAAGGAGAGGAGGGTTCCCCGCTGCAGGGGATGTCACTCTGGGGTCGTTGTGGGATTTTGCTTTTTTTCCTGGGGAGCTGGGAAGAAATTCCCCATAAGCATGTGATAGCCAAGAAGGCTTCACTTGAGGAAAGCAGCGTGGGGTGACAGGGGGGCAGTAGCCTTGGAGCCCAAAGCTCTGAGTTTGAGATCCAGAGCTGCAAGGAAAATGTGTGAGGCTTTTTCTCTTTGGGCCTCAGTTTCCTAACTGGCCAAATGGGACTGAACTGCCCTCAGATGCCCTTCCAGCTAAGGATGCATCAGTTCTTCCTGGCTCCAGGGTGCGGCATCAGCTCGGTGGCCCTGGGAGCACTGCCGCTAGAGCGTCCCTGTGCCAGCTAGACACAGAGAGAACATTCTAGAGCTTTTGGGGGAGCGAGTCTTTTCAGAACCACAGTTTTGGAGCATGGGAGGTGTTCGTGAGCCTCTCTCTCCCCGCCTCTTCCTCCCTCTCCCCACAGCATCAGAGCCGCGCCCCGGGCCCACAGTGCATTAGCGACCAGCAGGGCAGGGGCCGAGCCGCCTACCTCCTGGGAGAGGTATTTGGGATCTGTGACCCTGTCTCCTTCATCCTGCAGGGGCAGCACCGTGTCCAAAGTCTGTCCCACATCTGTCCTGAAAGAGGCAGTTCCAGGAGAGGCGATGGAGGGCTCCTGGCTCCTGCCATGGAGAGATTGAGCCCCATGTTCCCACACAGCCATGGAGAAGTGCTTGGGACACATGGGAACAACTTTCTTGCTTCTGTGTCACTCCTGTCCCTGTGTCCTTCCAGGCATCTGCTCATTGCCAACATACTACCTCTCCCTAGTCCTGGGCGCACTGTGTCCTCTCTCCGCCCCTCTCTCCTTTTCCCTCCACTCTCCTCTCTGCGTTCCTCTTTCTTCCTGCTGCTCTCTGTTTTCTCCCATTCTTTTCTGGTCCTGACAAGGTCAAGAACAGGCCAGGTCAATCTCTCAGGTCAAGACCACGGTCGCTTTTCCAAGCCAGTCCCAGTATAGCAGCTGTCCCTTCCCGGTCACGGCGGGCGGCACCCACAAGATTGGATGGCTCAAAGGGAAATCTCCACCTGCCCAACCTTCCCGTCCTCACCCTCCCTCTCTGCTCCCTCCTCCCCACACACCCTGTCACAATGCAGCCATCATGGGAAGGGTCTCTAATACCACGTTTCTTTTTTGCCTTTGGGGTCAGACACACAGCGGGGACACGGAGGCCGGCAGAAGGGGATGCGCCAACCCGCTGTCTGTCCTTGTCCTCGGCTTCCAGCTCTGTCCTGGCACCGTCTGTACCTGCTCTTGTGTTTGTCGTGTTTCTGACTGGGGTTTGGGACAGAGACATCCTTGGGGTCAGAACATAAATGCCCATCTTCTCCTGAAAGAAAAAGTACAGTAAAATGTACAGTTTTCCAAACAACCACCAACATTTCCTGGGAGGGAGAAAAAAAGAACATTCTCCTGTCTGTGAATGTCTGCTGTTCATTTCTCTGGAAACTCTGGGTTTTCTAAAGATGACTTCGAAATGGCATTCTCTCTCGCACCTGTGTTTGTGACTGCCTGGTGGGTGAGCTCGATTCCTGCCAAGTACAACGGTGAGGTGAGGGGGTGCACAAATGGAATGTTGGGGCATCTTTCTGGAACAAAGGCAGGAGAATCTGGGGTGACCCTGCAGGCTGAGAAGGGAGGAGTCCATCCCCAGGACTCTAACCGGCCCACATACCACCAGCCCGCCCTCCTTTACGGACTGTGGCCGCTACCACTCTTGGCCACTAGGGGCGCACGGGTACCTCCCCCACTTGGGTGGAGTCAGGGATGGCATTTTATTCAAAAAGGTTTTTTACTTGGCAATCTCGAAAAAACGAACCGAGCACCCAAACCCAAGGTGTAGAAACAAAGGAGCTTGTGGAACACAAGAATCCCAACTCTGCTAGGACACAATGTCTGTGCAGGTGCTGCCTAAGAGAAAACAGTATGAGCTACAACAAGATTTATATATATTTATAAACATAGGGGCTGGGGATTTAGCTCAGCGGCAAAGCGCCTGCCTGGCAAGTGCAAGGTCGTGAGTTCGGTTCCCAGTACCGGAGAAAAACCAA